GAAAGGCAGCGGGCCCCGACAATCAAAAAACAGAAACCCTTAAAAAACTACCTCAAAAATTTTGGCACATCATTTTCTAAATCTTTTATAATCAAAAAAACGGTAAGGTCCCCCAAATAAAAACTGGCAATTTTGTCTATTTTTAAGAAAAACGACCCCAAATTTTGGGCCTTTAAATGGGCCCACTTTTTACAAGAAACAATACAAAAAGTCCCTAAAGAAATTTTTCAAAAAACACGTTTTAATTTCTTCATACTAATAATGCAAAAACCCCTTTTGCAATCGGTTTTATAAAAAAGAAAAAACAACCAATCAACATTTTATCTATCACACATTTTGTCAAGCTCTAGACGAAGGAAAAGAAGTCCGTGCTATCTTTTGCGATATTTCCAAAGCATTTGACCGCGTCTGGCACCGTGGTCTCATTCATAAACTTAAAGGAAATGGCTTATCTGGTGTTCTTCTTAACTGGTTTCAGGATTATCTTTCTGGACGCTCTCAGCGTGTTGTACTTTCCGGTACGTATTCCGAAAGTCCTACCAATATGTTCCGGTGTTCCACAGGGTTCTATTCTTGGTCCTCTGCTGTTTTTTGTATATATTTAATGACATTGTGAGGATATAAATTCAACCATTCGACTCTTTGCTGATGATTAACTAGTCTCTACATATTGTCGATGAGCCACACGCATCTGCTTAATATCTTAAAAATTCTGACCTCTGTAAAGTTTTCGAAATGGGCTAATGACTGGCTTTGTCGATTTCAAACCCAGCAAAAACTGAGTCTCTTCTTATTTCTCGTAAGGTAAACAAACCGTTTTCATCCACCACTATATATGAACAATTTCCCAATCCAAGAAGTAAAATGTCATAAGCATTTGGGTGTAACCTTTTCAAGTGACGGATCTTGGCATGAGCATGTGGAAAATATAAAAACTAAATCTTGGCAGAGAATAAGTATCATGAGAGGTCTCAAATTTGTGCTTGATCGAAAATCCTTGGAGATCATTTACACTGCCTTTATAAGACCCTTACTTGAATATTCGGATGTTGTCTGGGACAATTTGTCTTATCACGACGAACAAGAACTCGAAAAAAATCCAACTTGAAGCTCTTCGTATTATCTCTGGTTGTACTAAACTTGTGTCTATCCAAAATCTGTATGAAGAAACCTGCTTCCAACCTCTTAAGGAACGACGAAAGAAGCACAGATTAACTCTTTTCTATAAAATGTCAAATAACCTATCACCCTCTTTTCTTACAACATTAGTTCCAAACCATGTCGGAAGTACCACAGCCTACAACCTAAGAAATGCAGACAACCTAAGAAACTTTCAATGTAATACTCGCCTATTTTCTTCTTCATTTGTTCCTCAAACAGTTACTGATTGGAACCTTTTATCTCTTGAAGAGCGAAATGCACCGACTCTTAACAATTTTAAATCCAAACTTCACAAGGATATAATGAAGGTTCCAGTTCATTTTTACTATGGAGATAGAAAATTACCAAATCCACCACACACGCCTTAGAAATCACTGCAGTTCATTAAACGAGCACCTATTCTCAAAAAACATCATAAATAGTCCCCTTTGCACATGTGGTGAAATCGAAACTACATATCACTACTTTTTTAAATGTTTACTATTTGAAACTCAAAGAACACAGCTAATTGACAATATCAATGCACTTGAAAATGCAACCCCTACACTTTCTCTTGTCTTATATGGTGATAGTGACAACCCACAAATTAATAAATTTGTCTTTGAATATGTTCACTATTATATTCAACAGACAAAGAGATTCTCATAAAGAGGCCCACACAATCCAATACCGTAAGCAACCTTAAACTCTCTCTCTCTCTCTCTCTCTCTCTCTCTCTCTCTCTCTCTCTCTCTCTCTCTCTCTCTCTCTCTCTCTCTCTCTCTCTCTCTCTTATTCTATACCGATTTTATTATTCCCCCCTTTTTTTCTTTTTTTTTCATAAAATAAAAAAAACTATTTGCTAAATGTTCTTTTAATGTATATCAATGTCTTAATGTTTATCTTAATTTATTTAGTTTCATTTTCATAATTTTTGTACTTGGATTATTATTGAACTCTTAGAATTACAAGCATACAATATTTTGTTTATATATGAATGTTATCATTAATAACTACTGTTTCATTTCAAGGAGAGAGTTTCTAAAAAAGCTTCTAGCTTTCTACTCAATCCTTTTTGCATTTTATTGTAATATATTGTGTGTATATATATATTTGCTGAAATAAAATATTGTTTAAACCAAAGCTATTTCCGTTTTTTGTTTGGCTTTTGGTTGTTTTTTCTTTTTTTCCGTTTTTGTCATATTCCTTTTTCTAAGGTATTCACTGTTATACAGAAACGCATATTGTATGATGAAGATTGTTGTACAAATGAAATATGCTGCATGTTTATTGACTTAGATAGTAGTATTCGATATTTTAAAAAAGATCAATATATTTGCTATAAATAAAGATATCATTAAAGATAGTGTAATCGTGTATTGTATCAGTCACAGGACTTGTCTAGTCTATCACCATTTCATCTCGACTCACTGTCAGCATACACAGAAACAAAACTTTGCACTTAAACACAATACATTACATATTATTACCCCTCACTTTTTTCGTAATGCTAATTTCCCATAGGCCTCTGGGAGTTATTCTTACTGTTAATGCAAGTGTACCACGTGACTACGAATTTTGTACTGTTACATAGGTAACAGTATTTTTAACAGTATAAAATCTTGTCACGTGGTCTATTTTCTAAATAAAATGAAATAAAATGGCCGCCATTTTTCTCTCGATTCATTCTTATTTTTGACGATAGGGCATCGCCGAAGTAACTATTACTCTGATAAAATTTAGTTCTTTGCAACCTAGAGTCCCTTTTGCGTATTAAATATCTTTTTGTTGAATAGTCAACAGGAAATATCCGTTTTCAACGGAAGTAATTGTAATGTAAATAATTTTGTGTCAAACTGGAACATGCAGACAATTAAAGCATGCAACAAAGGATAATTTAACAATTTTAACCAGTAAAACGTTACAGATAGAGTTTGTGGACATACATCTGTAGGATATCATCGTTATTTTCTAAATGCACTTTGTCAAAAACCATGCGAAGAATATTCTGGATGCAGAAGGATCAGATTTCACAGATCATAACCTTATAAATGGGTTAGTGTTTTGCTTTCTGACTAAAACACAGCTTATTTTATGTTTATGACTGGTAGATATCATCACTTGCTTAAAGAATAAAAGAAAAACAGCTTCTCAAGTAGGCCTACAGTGCACTTAAAACTTGCAAGGTAAGGACAGTTTAGTTATTGCTTCTCTTGGCTTATTTTTGTTTCAGTTAGATTTAGTTGCCAAATTCAGATCATCACAGTATTTGTTCGGGGTAATAAAATAAATAACACATGGGTTTGTGGGTAACAGTAAAAATATCATCCCTCGTAAAAATACTGTTACCCTCGGCTACGCCTCGGGTAACAGTATTTTCCTCGGCATGGGACTAACAGAGCAGGTGATGATCTACCTGATAACATGCCGACTCGTTGATGATATGTAAAACATTTTAAGATACATCATAAAAATACATCATTTAAACATTGAGCTTAGATTGCAGAAGTTTTACACTGCACTCTAATACACCTGAGGTTATCTTACACCCGATCGTAGTAATAAAATTGAAGATGTCTTTAAAAAAACTTTGAAATTTTGTCAGAAATCTTTTTAAACACGACAAATATTTCACTTGAATAAACATAACAAAACATAACACATGTGATATTTGATATGCGTTGCTAATTATTTCAGAAGTAATATCTTAAATGCATTTTAGAGTTACATTTAAATCTAGATACCAATCTTAAACGGTATAAATTTTGAATGATGTACATAATATTAGTGCACATTGTAAAACTATCTATTAAGGTTATTTTGTATATTAGAATTCATTTTGAATCTAGATATAAATGTTTTCTGTTGCTTTTTGTGAAGACATTCTGTATACGTCTACAAATGAAACATGTCATGAACATAATACCTGTAATATTAAGATTTTCGTTAAGTCGTATAAAAATTATCATCGCCACTAAAATAAGACGATACGTAGATATAAAAGCAAACAGAGTAATAAGTCGAAACAGCAGACTTAGTATGATTGGATCTGCATACGTGATTTTGTGAACATTGCAACAATTCTCATGTCAATTAAGGTGATTAATGCATTATTGTATAATTGTATTGGAATTTATTTTAGAAAAAGGACCAATACAAAAAGGGTAACTTTAAAGCTTTACAATTATATTATGCACTCCCTTTTTAATTGTAGCGCAGAAAAATAATTTAGAAGGCAATACTGTTTTACAATGTCAGCAATAAGGCAATAAGCACAATATTGCTTTTGGTTGATGCTGTTAATAACTTTATTCAGTATAATTTAACAAATCTGTGTTGTAACATTTTACTCAGTAAAACATTAAATATCATGAAGTATAAGTTGAACATAGAAAAAGTGTCAGATTTCAAAAACTACTTTGAAAAGTGAAGCAAGAAACACGACTTCCAAATTACAACCCTTTAGAATTGAAACAATTGACATAAAGGGGTGCTTACTTTCCCAGTCTAAAATCGTTATTAAAACAACACAAAAATTAAGTTAAACGTAATAAGGTTAATATAGATGAGGCACACGTAGCAATACTGAAATAATAAATTGATATAAATTCAAACTAAAAAAGCGATCTGTCGTACATGATATTCCCGCTTTGAGCGTCATTTACAATAATTATATGCTGATACATTACGTAAAACAAGTTTTTGACTTTAGGCAATATTTTTTAAGAGCTGAAAATGCCATTTTAACAATTACTTTTTTTGTACGACGCTATGATCATGATGACATAAGCTAGATTTAAGGATAACGAAACGTGATGCATTAGTACACAAAACTGATGATGTGTTAATTGAATATACAAGACGCATTTAGAATACTGCGTGTGCCATTACTAGCTTTATAAAGCAACTAACTTGGATTATGTTTGCATTTATCTAAATGCGTCGTCTTTAAATGATTTACGAAACAATTTAAATAATGTTAATTAACTATTGATACTTACTTGAAATTTTGCTATTTTACCGTTTTACGCGTTTTAAAGTACATCAAATATTGTGTAATATATAACCCGTTCGTAATATTTAAATCGCATGGGTCACACTATTTTATGGATATGTATATTCTGTGGATGATTAAATGATACAGTACATATAAAATATACTGAATTATTTGCTTCGAGTAAGATGGAATATCAGCTCTTAGAATAAGTGCAAGACGTTATATTAGTGATTTGTTTTTAATCTTTTTAGTACGAATTAAACACTTTAAAGTGGTTACCTACCATACATGTATATGGTGTTTGATGTACGAGCCAATACAGGTAGTATTTCCTATTATCACATCAAATGTTGATATTGATATATAAGGCATTGAACATCATAATGTGATTCAATATGTAATATACTTGTTCTCAAGCCATATTCGATTGATGTCATATTTCATATTTAAATCTCATATTTTCAAAATAAAAAAAAAACGTATTTGTAAATAACGCTGGTAGCTTTGTATTCTCGGTGTTAAAATTAAGATCTTCTACTTGTTAGATTATTTGGTAACACTTTGCCGACAAGATGTTGTGTTCAAAGATAATTGCACATCTCTATTTGACACTAATGGTGATATTACTGATTTTCATCATTTATTCCGAAGGTAAGCATTTTTTCACTTAATATATGAGTAAATTGAGTAAATGTTTTAAGAATAATTTGAATCGGCAATAAGCAAAATGATTCAAATTAGCATTCAATTATTATATTTTTAATGATATATTTTACTACATATCAAGAAATAAATATTTCGTTTAAACACGTAATGGTTATTTCTGTCGGTTCCATATTGGATAAATATCGGATGCGATTCAACCACATATTTGCATAACCATTGTCTATAAATATGTTTGCATAGTGTAGTACAAGAAAAGCATTGATGCAAAGCATCAAAGGGCGACGCCAAAAGAATTTGATCCAGATTTGCACCTAAATACTTAACAAAAGATGTGTACTTTATAGCAGTACCATTACATGTGACCTGGAGGCTAGGGCCAGTTTAAGTTGAAACTTAAACCAAAAAAGAATAAACTCTGTCTTGCCAAGATGCAAAGACAATTTATAGTCAACTAAGCAATCTTATAAGACTCATGCTATAAGAAAGAATTTCTTCAGATTTATTTTACGAGACACAAGGATTCCTAAGTCATCAGCATATAATCACAGGCACGAGTATCGTACCTGGGAAGAAAAAATGACCAGATGACCAGATTGATAAAAAAAAACTGTGTTTATAAAAACCAGAAAAAATGTAAATAATGATCCCCTTTAAAAATATACTATCAACTTGAAGTATATTTTTAAAGGGGGTCATTATTTACATTTTATTTTGGTTGTTGACACTTTTAATATGAACACAGGTTTTTTTATCAATCTGGCCATATTTTTCCTTCCCAGGTCTGATACTCGTGCCTGTGCATTATAATAAAAGCTTATTGCTTAGGGTTGAAGACATGTCATTGACATATATTAGACATAAAAGAGGACCTTAAATGAACATCAGGGGGACACCATAGGTACTCGAGAGCAGTAGTAGAATGAGTACCAGCCACATCCACCAGCTGCAGTCTATCAGAGATAAGATTTAAACCATGTAAGAATGTCATTATATATGGCAGATGCTTGAAGTTTCATGAAGAAGAAGAAAAACAACTTCTTCATGTGCAGTATAGTGTGTTCAACTGTATCAAATGCCCTTTGTAGATCTAAAAGTATCATGCAATACTGCCTTTGTCCATTTCAAATAATGCAATCTGTTAAATGAATCAAACATGTGTCAATTGAAAAACCACTTCTAAACCCTGACTGAAACTGCCTGACCATGACTCGAACCCATGACTTTCAGAAGACCAACTGAGCCATTTTATGAAGGCTGATTTGTATTTTGCATCAAGGGCACCGGGCAAAAACATGAAAATGCAACAAACAAACCACTTTGTGGTAGATTGTATTTTCATGTTTTCATCTGGCGCCCAGTTACTTTTTGTACTATGTTGGTTTTCATGTGGCACAAATCACCCACTATAAATTTAGTGCACAAATTTATTCAAGGGCAAGTAACAATCTACTCTATGTACAGTCTGTTGTCGGGTTGACTCAGGAGACCTGGAGGTTGAGACCGGTGTCCCTTCATTACAAATAGATAAGACAGAAGCTGTCCTTTTCAAACTATGCACATGTTAGAAAAAAAATAGAATAACTATTCAGAATATGATTTTTTGAGACTTTATTAATTATATTGCTTGATCCAAGTTTCAGGACATTTTCAATCAATACATGTTTTATCATTTATAACTTTAAATGAAAGTCTCATCCCTTTAATAATAATGACATAACTGTATCTCTTTAAATGCAGAAAAATTATAAGTCTCAACATATCAATATACTACAGTCCAAGATATACATGTATGCACATAACATTAATAATTCCCAGTTTATATTAAATAAATATGAAATCCTAACATTAACATTAACATGCTTTTGATGACCTTACAACTAGTGAATTATATACAACAAAAATAGTATTATAAGTAATACCTAAGATAGACAGAAAATAACAAATGATTTAGTAAACATGAGTTACTTAAAATAGATAAAACCTGAAACCCAAAAGAACACCCTAAACAGCAAAATTATGAAATGCTGCATGCTCAGTTTTATTAAGCCATACAAATTAATGGTGAAGTATTCATAAAAAATAGATGGCCATGTGACAGCAGTAATTGCAGATAATCGGATAGCTTTCAACATCCGGATACTGGTACACTTTGTTAAAACAACCATTCTGCGCAACAGATAAATGTAATAAGGATAAAATCAATAGGATAATCGTTTACAACAGTTCCATTACCTATCCTTATACTCAATTGCAGGTGAACTTTCTTCTTTTAGGACAATTTTGAAATTGTATAAATGAATGAATGAACTGATACGGCCTCAATCTAGACCACAACGATATTCGAAATCCGGGTTTTAGTATTGTCAATAACTAAGGGACAAGCTGTTAAACTTAACCTGCAATTTCGTGAAAATAATATCACAATGCAAATGCTTTTTACATAAAGTTATTAAATACAAATATAACAACACATTTGTTTACTTGATTTTTACGAATCAAAATAAAACTAATTAACACAACATGAAATTAACTGCTAATAATAACAGCTCCTTCCATAGGCAAAAATAAAAAGTATTCCATAATAGACGACGCCGCTCACCGGCGTCGCCAATAAGTCTTGAAAGAAATCCATCCTTTACAATTATCACGAAGATATATATCACAATGTAATCAAAAATTATGATATTATCTTTCGTTAAATGCTACGATAGAATAAAAACATGATAATGTAGTATTATTCTATGATTCTTTATCATTGTTAATCAGCACACAAGTTTTTACTTACCATAAGACTTTAATGTTTTTGCATTTAAATCACAGACGAAATGTTTACCCGTTTTAATGGTTACAAAAATGTAGATGTATATAAGATTTTAATCAGTCACTAAGCTATAAACTCATGTCTGTTAACATAATTAATTTAGATATTTTCTCGTATGTCTATATAATTATTTTGGTTGCCTTTTATAGCTGCTTCAAGAGGGGTTTGTAAAAGGCCAACGCCCACTACAACAACACCAGCTCCTGATTTAACAACAGAAGCAACACCTTAGGTAGAGGATCAGTACCTTAGAGCCCCGAATAACAATAATATTCTAGTGTACAAATTTTACATCGTAAAATATAGATATTTTCATTTACATGATATTGACAATGATACGATGCAACCTTCATTCATTATCTTACTTTGATGAAGAAAACATTTTAAGGGCGCTTATAAATTATCTATCATAAAAAATGCATTTTATCAGAAGACATACTACAACAATAATCCATCGCTTATCGAACTCTGTCATTCTGGTCTTTCTGCCTATGTTCCTGGACATTGCGGAGACATTGCTGATCCTTAATTATGTATATACAAGGAAATATGCTCAGCACACATGGCTTTTTGCCTCAATTTTGACATGACCATACCTGAAATTGTAAATTTTATTTGGGCAATGGTACGAACCACCTGTAGTCAACCTGCAACAACTGAAACAAGCTCTGCACAAGAATGGCAAAATTTACCTTGAAATCGCATTAGACGCCTTGCTGGTAGTATAAAAAATGTTGAGGCTATCATTCGGGCACTTGGCGGTTACACACATTAATAAAAATTTGGCTACATAATGTGATTTTAGGTGACGTAATCGTCAACTTTTACCAAAAATATCGACCAGTAAATGTTTTGTAAATGCTCCAACACATACTTATAAACACTTACATTTTCTGGTAAAAGAAACAACACATTTGCTTATGCTTCAACAATTTGGTTAAGAAGAAACTATACTCATATATTTACTGGTTTGTAATGACTAAATTGATATCGCTGCTCATCAAATTATTATTTCTTAGGTCAATGAAGTCTCATGACAGTGACTTCAATCACAACAAATTTTAAATTAACGGGTGTGCTTTACTTATTTCCAAGTGTATATTTGAATACTCGTAAAAATTTCTAAAGACTAAGATTTTTTAACTTAGCAAATGTTTTATTACATACTTGAATTTTAGTATATAATGTTTTCATAATTTCTAAATACATTTCACTGAGAACATATTTAACAGTCTCTCACATATGTTATCATAATGTTGCTCAGAATTTAAAATTATTTCGGAACATGCAAATATGTTTGAACGAATAACAAGAACTCTTAAAACGGAAAACCTCATAAAAAGTATAGCGATAGCAAATGTCAATATCTTTGACGACTCTTTGCATGGAATTTGGATTTTAAACTATGTATCATAATTTAATAAATGTAGAAATTATCGGTTGAAATTTGTGGAGCATGATATAAACATAGGGATTATTTTTCTTTTTTAGCTATAAACGCCCATAGATGAAATATGTACTCCAATCATATCATGATTTAAACCTTATGTAAATCATATCTCCGAGTCTATTTATTCTGTTTATGAACCGTCTATGGTTATTATGAAAACGTTTTAAGATTTAATTGTAGATAAGTTTGATATTTAATATTGCATTAAATAACTAGCCCGCCTTCCGATAATTTTTTATCCTTGATTTTAATATTTCAAACTAAATATTACTTTATTTGTGAAGTTACACTGCATTGAACATCTTTATCTGAAAAATATCAATACAGAAATAACGGCTTGTTTTCGGTTTTTCTTTTAATTGTATTGCTTCTATATTACTAAAGCAAAATTGAACTGTAAGTGCAAGTATATTTCAGAGCTTACACAGATGTCACTAAATTGTCGAGAATTGTTTATATATCAACGAAATGTCCGTTGGACATTCACCCAATTATATATATACGTACATGTTTAAATCAATTTGAAAACATAAAATCTAATTAACATATGATTTATTTTGCTTGATAGTTATCAACATTGATAAAATAAAAATCGTTGAACTTGTCATTTGAGGCAAGATAGCGTTGCATAAGTGTCGGGTTAAAAAATTGCTTTTTAGTAGTTCCTCATAATTGTAATATTATGTTTGACAATAATAATACTTGAAACAGTCCGTGTGGTTACAAACAAACACACAAAACAATAAACATACAAATAATGGATAAGTCTTTTAATATTAGTAAATAAGTACAGAGGGTTCTCTACCCAGGGCTGCACGTTTGATTTTTATATGTGAAACGTGTTCAGAAACAACTTTTATTAACGTAATTGCTACATGTACACTTCCCTTTAGATAACCCTAAACAAGGAAACAACTGCATTATTTTACTAACAATTTGTAACGTTATTTTCATTTGGTACGTAACCTCATAAATTAATTGTACAATAATTGTACCATTATTTGTTATAAAATATAAAATGGAAATAGAAAAAATTGAGATATCCCCCTTATCATGAACATCTTTAATGTCAGCTGCAAATTAACTTTTCATGAGACTTACATTCAATCATTCAATTTTAAACCGACATGAAATAACTATTTATATTTATGCCTTTCTTAGATTGTAAAATAAAATAAAGCAATAAAATAATTCTTTGTGCCGAACTATCAAAGTAGTCTTAAAACCAATATCAGCAACAGTTGTGCATTGTACAATGAAACTAAATTTAAGATTTTATTATTTGCCTACTTTCGGCAACATCATTCCTGTTATATTCACCATGATTATACAAAAAGAATATTGTAAAGTGTTATTTCAAAATTTTATTTCCATATGTGTGCAGGTAGATATTATGTGATATGAGGTGATACGTTTTATAATGTAGACAGTAGACAGTAGACATTTTATTTTATTCCAATAGGCTATAAAGCCCATGCGGACATAAATCATGCACAATAACGAACAGTGTATGACATAAACATATATACATAATATCAACAATCATGAAAAGAAAAAGAAAAAGTTTGGAGAAGATCAATTTTGATTGATAAAGTCATTACCAGCCGAAAATATTCTTAAGTAGTTACATAATAAACATTTTCAAATCAAAATTGATCTTTGAACCACTAACTTATAGATCTATTATATATACATATAAACATACATACACACATATACATGCACATACATACAAAAAACAAAATATCAATTACATGAGCCATTTATGCAAAATTTGTTGTAAATTAATTGAATTTTAATACATAAACGCATTGCCATATATTTATACACACATCCTAAAAATTTAAAGTCCCTTCGCATCAATTGCAGATTTAATAATTGTAACAAATCTTTATCTTTCATTTTGGATTTTTGAAAACTTCGAAAGTCCAATTTCAAAAGTGATTTGGCTATTCATGTTAAGTTGCAAAGAGACCTTCGAGCTGACTTAATTGCTAACCTTATCATATAAACATGACATTCATATCAATAGAAAACATATTATATATAATTATGTACAACGTTTTAATTTTCTCCATAATTATATCTGTCTTGCCGAAACGAAAGTGCAAGACAAATCATATGGATATTATGTATTTTTTTTAACATGAACATTACAACTGGACAAATTTGCATTGTTAATCATATAGCAAAGTATTTCTAATAATAAATGCTTTGTTTATATATATTCCTAAGTTTTTAAGTATGTTCTTATTTTCTGAGTTCATAAGATCTACAAATTTATACATGCTAGGCCGTATCCAATATTTTCTGGCAACAGATTTTTTCCTAATATCAATGTACATTACACATTCAATAATAAAATGATATTCATCTTCTACCTTATTACATGTTATACATTTTCTATCACTAATAGGTGTTCTGGTGGGTCTGGTCCATCGACCGGCTTCAATGTGTAATCTGTGAGATGATACCCTTAAACGAGTAAATGATTGACAAAATTTATGAATATTAAAGCATTCCAAATATGGTTGAAATCTAAATGATGCAATTGTGTTATAAAATAGAGCCCTACTTGATTGGTTAAGTCTTGCATTCCAGTTCTGTATAAATTGATCACTTAATCTTTGTTGAACAACAGAAAGAAACATTTCGGTATTACCAACGCCTTGAAAAATCCACGCATCAACAAATCCAAGAGAACATAGTAAATCTTTCAATAATGTACACCAGTTTGTTTTATTTGGACACAATTCTACATCCGTCTTCAATAAATTATAAACAATAAAGATATATTTGTTTTGTTTTGCTTGCAAAATTCGTAACCAATATTTGATAGCCTTAAACATTTGTATAGTTTTAAATGATACTCTGCCTAACTCGCCATATATGAAATCATTCTGTGTAGACTTTTTTACACCAAGTAATTTTTTGCAAAATTGCAAATGTACTTTCTCAATAGCTAAATTATTTGCAAAACAACAAACTTCACAACAATAGTTCAAGATAGGGGATACAAGCTTATCGAACAATTCTAGCTTATGTTTTGGAGGTATATAGGTAAACTTATGTAAGTATTTATTCAAAGTAAAAATAGCTTTTTGTGCTTGCCCAGCTAATGTATTTTGAGCAGTAAATAGCGAACCTCCTGTAGTAAATACCACACCTAAGTAACAAAACTTACTAACAATTTCAATGGGATCATTATTATAATTAAATATCGTGCCACCAGGAATAGTACCACCTTTTCTAAATATCATAATTTTAGTTTTAGAAACATTCACTTTAAGCTTCCATTTAAAACAATAATCATATAAAATATCTATACTACGTTGCAATTCTTCGGCTGAATTTGCAAAAATCACAATGTCATCAGCATACAACAACATAAATATTTTGAACATATCAACATCTATTCCATCTGCCTTGTTATGAATGAATATATCTTCTAGATCATTAACAAACATGGAAAATAAAAAGGGAGATAAACACTCCCCTTGTCTCACGCCCAGCATACATGTGTATTCATCACTTAACTTATTGCAATACTTAACTCTAGACTTAACAGACTCATAAATTGATTTTACAATGTTGAAAATATTACCTCTAAGCCCTAACTGTATCAACTTGAACCAAAGATTTTCACGAACTACATAATCAAAAGCTTTTGTATAATCAACAAACAAAGTAAAAAGTTGTTTCCCTTGATTAAGAATATGGGTTATTAAGCCATTAAGTACAAAAATATTATCTACAGTGCTCATATTCGCCCTAAATCCTGCCTGTGCTTCTATATATACATTATATTTTTCGGCCCAAAGTTTCAACCTATTATTTATAATTCGTGTAAAGAGTTTACCAAGACTGCTTAATAGTGTAATACCACGATAATTATCCACATTGTTTACACTTCCCTTTTTATGCAGTGGAATCACAAAGCCTTCAGACCACCTTGTCGGAAAATAACCAATTTCAAAAATCTTGTTAAACAATATATAAAACACATTCTTCAAAACATCTTTGCCTGTAGTAAAAAACTCATTTATCAAACAATCTGGACCCCCTGACCTATTATTTTTTAGTTGTTTAATGGCTGTTGTTATTTCAGTAACAGATATACACGTGTTTAATTCATTGAACATAATTTTAAATTCATCATTTTCATATCTTTCAATAAAATATATAGCATCTTCATCAGGTGAAAAATAACTATCATCTGGATTGTTAACAGCTTTAAAATACTTCTCAAACATCGACATTGATATATTAGACTGTTTAATACCCGCAGCTTCCTTCAACATATTCCAATATAAACGTGCATTTTTGTGTCTATTACTTAACAATTTATTTGTTTTTTCTTTATCGTAATTGTATCTACATTTTCTAATGGTTGACTTATAATCTGACCTGGCTTTTACCATATTTACTCTCGTACACTCGTTTTGATTCATTCTGTATTGATTAAGACATATATAAAAAATATTTTTCTTTTCAAAACATTCTTCGTTAAACCAGGGCTGCGTGCTTTCAGAGTTAACATAACTGTTATTATCTGAACAAATGTTTTTAACAAAAGGGGAGGCTACTTTATTAAAAATGCCTTCAAAAACATGTATACAATTATCGATATCATCATGTGACGTGCTAGCTATTATATTGCTCGTTAAATCATGTAAATCTCTTAAGCTGTCATCGCTCTCTAAATTCTCAATATATGTATTTTTTAAATCGTGTTTCCATACATACTTATGATTTATACTCTCAAAATTGTTTTCATCACAAATATCATCATTATTTTCCGTTATATAGTCAAATGAATATGTAACTGACAATAAACAATGATCCGATACAATATTTGGTAAATCAATATAAAACATAGAAATATTATCAAACATACTACGCTTGCATAATAAATAATCCACCACACTACGTCCTCTGTTACTTACAAAAGTATATTTCCCTATCATATTATCGTTTCCTTTTCTACCATTAACAAATCTGTAACTTGTTTGCCTACAAAAATCTAGCAAAAGCCTACCGTTATTGTTTACATGACCCTTATGTTGATAACGATCTTCATTTGGGCTTTTTCTCTTAAAGCGATATTTGTACAAAATATATGTGAAATGTTGAAGCATTAAATCTTGATAGGATTTTAGTGTCAGGTGTATAAAATTTGATTTATAATTGAGTGTTTCAATTAAAAAAAATGTAATATATACGTCGTGTGTGATCAAAATTTATACAATCGCCATATCTGTTAGATTGTTATTTAATATTGAAATTCAATAATAAGTCGTTTTATTAATTACATGGAATATAATCAACTGAAAGAAATATAACCAAGCAAAATCATTCATTGTAAACTGTATAACGCCTTTATTATTAGCTTATGAAAACAAATTGGATGTTATTTTTGCTTTTTTACATTTTATTTTCAAAATTCTTATCTGATATAGCTAAACACCTTTTAATTTGGTTATAAAATTAAAAAAAAAAAAAAAACATTTTGGTGGTAATAAATATTCTTTCTTTATTTATTAATATTATTTTAGGAACAATCTTGTTTAATTGTTTATTCTTCATATAACACACAATCCCGAGCAATTGTGTATACTATTATGTAAAGGTCTCGGCATGAGTTCTAATTAAGTTATTTATCAATTTTCCCGAATTCCACGAAGTCCCTTTTAAAAGTGGAACAATGCATTCAGGATGATTATCGTTGAATATTATGTACTGATTAAACAATTAAACATCTATAGGTTTTCATTTATAGAAATAACTGAATTTGAAATGTAAAATAAAGTATTGTAGCAATGTACATGTACTTATACAAATGCTTGGTCAGAGAAGTTTTCTGACGAAATTAATATTTAAATCGAATTATCAATAAATCATGTGTTTTTATATTAATTGACAAGTATTTCTGAATAAATACGTATTCTCGCCGCGCATTATAAGTAACAGTTACTAAAATAACTCAAGCGGTATAACTAACTTCATTGATATTTGAAACTTTTGTTTTGATTCTTCAAATCCCTTCACTTCTTGAAATCATTGTACAAGCATGAAACATGACGCATTCAATAGTTTTTGTCATATTTATTGAGTCAAATATAATTTTAGTGTCGTGTTAATTCTAGTTTGATGTATTCCTAGGAATTTGCATTGTTGTAATAAATATATTACTGTTCGCCCTTTGTTCTTTCTTTTTTCCTAATAAGGTGAATTGAGAGCCTTGTTATTCCTTTCTACATACATGTATAAGATATAATCCTATTAAGGTAGTCTTACAGTAATGTTTTCCCGCAAAAAAATCAAACATCGACCAAGATTGTAATAAATCGGTCATTTCCAAACGTTATTATTCACGATATTCGGTATTCACTAACTTTTAATCGTTCATAACCGACATTAGTACATAGCGCTTAAGGAGGAGTGATTAATACATTGTAAATAATCTAATGCCCAAGATTAAAAAATAACGTTCTGGAAATAACTGATTTGTTAAGATATTGGCCGATGTTTTTGCGGGAAAGCATTACAATAAGACTTCCTTAAAAGCTAATAAATCAACATGTTACAGGAATATGTACCGAGCAATCCTACACAATTCCTAGATGTAAGATTACATAAGCAGTAGAAAATGCCGTATTGAACACACAAGGGACAGGCAGGTAAAATTCAAATAAGGGCTTGGTTCAAGTGGGTGTGTATTGCTGAAATGCATACTTGAATACCCCATACAAGTTAAGTGAAAAAACAACCCCTGGATCATAGCGAATCCCGAAATAGGGACAGTGCAATAATTTGCATTCTCCCCATGATTCCGCCCTTCTATTCGAGAACAAACAACAACATACATATGAATTAACTTCTTGCAATAGTGTAAAGAAGACTATTATTGAAAAATATCATGACAAAAGATCAAACGATAAGAAAAAGGAAAGTGAATGCAGTAATAGATATGTCGATTTGCAAAAAAAAAAAACAAAAACAAAAAAAAAACAAAAAACAAAAAACAACGTCGTCGTGAATTTTGGCCTTTGTAGTTTCAATATCCAAGTTTTGATAAGTTATTCTATGTTTCACAGTTTAACACAGTACTTGTGAGGATCCGTTGAGATGGTGATGTGGACCGCCAAGGCACACTAAGGTTAGTGTAGCTGTCTCCAAATTATGCATGTATAATGTTTCAATGCGTTCTGGTGTTGTACAAAATGTTAACGTCTTATCCAAGTCTGATGCATGTATTTGAGTTTTTTTTAGAAATAATGTTGTTTTTTGCCTGGTCTTTGCGGCAGGAAAAACGTTACAAGAAAATGACATGAGTGCCTGAAAAAAACGTCGTATATAATGTAAAACGTAGAATTATTATTGCATATATGCTATATTACAGTATGTACGG